TCAGCAGGACAGAAAAACTGTTTCATACTAGTTCAAATGCGAAACAAATAGAAAAAGAAATCACTATTTATCTTGTCTCTTCTGTCAAATTTTCTAAACATACTTACCATTCTTTCCAATTTTAATTGCATAAGGGTAGAAATTTTCAGCATGAAAAAAATACTTCCTTCAATGAATTATGAATCCTATTTGATATACATCAGTATATTAATTTCTGTATGGAGATGTGCAGTTCTTCCATCAGAAGCCTGTACAGGTGACTAAATGGAGATGGGAAGACTGTGAAGATTGTATGGTCTGGCAAATCTGCCTTTTTGAGAATTGAAACAGGGACAGCAATTATTCAGTGTGTCCTTTTTTCTCATTCAGTGATACAGATCTAGCATAACTGAAGTGAGAATGTTATCGCTTTTGTCAGGGTTTCAGAACAAAAAGAATCAAATATCCTTCAGCTGTGCTTCACACCTTCCTGCCAAGATACCACCAGTATTTGGTGAATTCACATTACTCTTTGCATAGGTGGTCCACTTTTTCATTAATAGGCAAAAGTCTGAAACAAAATAGTTACTTACTACAGAGAAACAAACACACTTTTCATACAGTAGCAACAATCTGCTGAGCATTTTACTTATTATACGTAGGAAAAAAACGCATATAATTTTTTTTTTTTAAATCATGCTACGTGAACAAAGCTGCAAATGGTAGGAATAATGTCCCATTCAAATAATAAATAAAATTTGTATTCAAGGAAAAGGAAAATGCTCTGTTTCTGATATATTCTTTGTGATTTCACTACACCATGACTGGGGTTGTCCCAGATGAGGGCAGTATGCTCAGAAATTATCAACATATGCACCGTATGTACCATATGCTGCCTTTATTCTTCCACTTTTCTTTAGACATCCACTCAAAGACAGGATATTGGACTAGATGAAAGTCCAGTCTGACGCAGTATTGCAATTTTTACAATCATTTGTTCTTGCTTTCAATTTATAAGCAAGAAATATGTTTTGTTTTTAAATCACTAGACTGGATGAAATATCATTTTGAAGATTTTAAAATATTTTTATTTTATACTTACTGTTGCATTAATACCCGAGACACTGATTTTCAATCTATTTTAAATGCATTGACCTTTATACATTCATCTTTCAACGGAGGATCAGATGCTTGTATAAAATTCAAATATGAATTGCATATAAACATACAACTTTTCCTTTGACCTTAGTTCTCCTTCCCCTGCACCAAGCGGTATGTAGCTGTTAGAATTTTCCCAACAGATCTTCTCTTTCAGACTCATTTGTTTCTTTCCACTCCCATGTGACCTTTTCCCTTGTGCTGCAAAAGTATTTAGGTGGGTGTGCAGTGAATCAGATTCCAGAAACTATTCCAGATTAAAATTGACAATTTTAACTGGTTTATTTTTGGCTTATGCCATCTTTCCTATGTGGTTCACTGAATGATGGAACAAACTCCTTGTGCTGTCAAGGGAGCTGCAGAAGTCCTACAATGACAGGATACAAGTGGTGAAGGCTTCTTTCAGCAACAGCATTGAAAAACACTGACTTGAAATGTACTCAAAACTACAGCCTCAGTCACTTTTGGATTCCCTTTACAAGCAGTTCACACACCTATATGGCCTCATGGATATCAGTTTAATAATTAAAGTTCTAGGTCAAGACGTCACTGAGGAAAAAACTCAAAGATTGGTTAATACTGTATTAAACTACAGATTTTGTGTGATGTTCAAAAATTATTGATGAACTTTTTTGCTCAATATACCGACAAGTTTGATTTGTGTGTTTTGACTATCCTCATCATGTTGAAATTATCCTGAATGTTCTAGTTAGACAAGTTCTAAGAGCATTTATTGCAGAAGGGTTATTATTCACATTTGCATGCAATTTCTTGATATATATTAGCACCAATACTGACAGTAATAAAACTAGTTTTATATTACAAAATATAGGATGATATCTGTCACATCACAAAACTGGCAAACATATGACCTTTTGTTAACTGAGCCAGATATCATTCTCCTGGGTATTATTTCAGTGCATAAAAATTATAATTGTCCTACAGACTTAAAAAACCTGGATTACAGAAGTCAGAGAGGCCTGAACGCTAATATTCCAGGCATTCAAAATTCCTTACATGTAGTGGAAATCTTTGCAAAGTATTCCATGTTGTGGATTAGCCCTAGGTTTGAAAAGTATTTAAAATTTATTTTTAGAAATGTATTTCAAATACATCACAAAGTAATAATAGAAATGAGGTGATATAAAGTATACATGTCATACTTGTTTTGGAACAAACACATATACCATTCTATACTTACCTGAAAACAAAGACAGCGTATCAATTCTTCTAAAGCCTACTGAATTGCCAAGAAAGTATTAAAATGCCTTATATGGAGAGAAAATTCTCATATATACTGTAACTTTAAAATATGTTGTTACATGGTGACAGTGACGTATCTTTTAAGACAAATATTTTAACTATTGAATAGTTGTAATTAAATATCTAACCTAATAAAAATTGACTGTATTTTCAAACATATAACCCATGCCTCAGATATAATCTTAGAAATAACATTCTTTGGTAATAAGTCCTCAGACAGCATACTGTTAGATAGCACACATAAACCAAGAACAAATAGACATAATCAGAAGCAAGGTGGCTACTAGGCAAAGACAAGCAGATTAAAGAGCAGGGGGGATTTTTTTGGTAGTGGGGTTTTGGGGGTTTTTTAAATAATAATCTATAGTTATACAAAAGCAATAAAACTGCAGTAACATTGAAGGTACTTTGGAGATGCATTAATTCAAACATACTAATAAACAAAGGTTACCTTTTCAATTTGATTTTGTGATGCAATAGTTTCACAGTTATCCTGCCCTGCGCGGTTCTTAAACACTAAAATTCTGTCAGAGGTGTCCTCAATAATTTTCTACACGTAGTTGGAAATGACAAACTTGGTTTTCTTTTGCTTGACACCATTATGAAGAACCAGGCCATTCACTGTCCAAAATACTTTCTTCAGTAATGACAGATGGTCTGAAAGAAAAAAGAAAAAACAAGTAAAGTCAATATTTGGCTTCAAAATTAAAACTGGACACATCATGCTCCCTTTTCTCTATTACCTTAAAAATACACACTGGCCTGTCTCCACTTAGATGCTGGTATTTTCTGAAATACTACCACCAGCTTCCTACTAACCGTGACATAAGCTGTAGCAAGCTGTCTGCAGTGATAGCCTGCATAAATCATCATTCCTGAAGGGAACAGATGTTCAGGGTATGAAAGAGTAATACCACAATTTAGTCATAATTAAAATTCACCTTAGCATGCCTCTATCAGTGAGCAGAGAGGAACATTTCACTTCTCACCTACAAAAATGAAATGCCTTTCATTTCTTCTGCTTCAGGAAAATTAAGCCTGAACCTTTTGTATATTGTTTGAGTTCCATATCTGACATTGCATCATATAAATGACATTTTTATTTCACTTCAACTGTTAGTTTTCTTCTTTTTCCAGACACTAGAAAATGACCTCTAAAAGGTATACTGCCTCTGCACAAAATGCACTTACAATTAAATCTTCAAAGGAGATGATTGTTGTACATAGCATGCTGAAATATAAAAGGTAGCTATCTAGCTACAGATCAAAACTGTGCCAATAAAAATACTCATTGCACTGATCACAATTCAGTCTGAGCTGGATATATTTAAAAACTTAGGGGCTGAAGGCCTTTAAAAATTATTTAGTAACCTAAGATCACTAAAATCAGTGGGAGTTAGAGGATTAACTCAAAAATTTGATCCTTAGCCTTGTAACTGCCATTAGTGTTAATGGAAGGTGCCTATACACAAAATTTCAAAAATGTAAGCCTCACACTGCTATTATTACAGTTGGATTATGTTAGATACATGACAGTTCTTTTGCAAAATTGGTTTCAATTCACAGATCTTTATATCATGAGGCTACTTTATTATGAAATATAAAGCATGTGTTATGTTAATAAATGTCTCTAAACCCACTAAAGTGTAAACGGCTGAACTTTTCAAATCAATTTAAAGTTCTAAGACAAAAGATAATTTATCTTCTCATCAACACTGATATTGGCAATCAATTTGAAAAAAAAAGCCCACCTCTCATTAAACCATGGTTTAGTTTCCCAACATAAATATCTTTAGTGACTGTCAACCTTCACACTGGATTCTAAAGTCCATAGATTAGATCCTCAGTGAATATAAATTAGCTAACCCTATCGAATTCAGTACAGCTACAGTAATTTACTAGGATTGAGAATGTGACTTTATAAATCAATTAATCTATAGGGGTCATTTTGTAACTAAAGTTACTTCTTAACAAGTAAGCGAATTTCAAATTTACATTTGAAAAATTGTGGTTTGTTTTCTTCCACAAGGATGCATCTACATTAGCGTTCTAGTTCAAAGACCGCAATTTTTAAGTGAGCAACCTATAGCTTCCACTTAATGTACTTTGATTCATATCACAGCAGTTTCAAAGCATGCAAACTGATTTCACCCTCTGGATGAAACTAAACCAATGGATGCACTCGAGAAGTGTACCTAATGCCCTTTCGTAAATCCACTGCACTTACAGCTAGTCCATTAGACTACAGCTAATCCAGAGTAAAATCTTTTAAAACGTGTATAGCGTGGACATTAAATTCCTTTGTACTAACTGCTTCGTTCCACAGATCTATTTCTCTGGTGCTGTACAACTTGTTAACACAGATGTAGCTTCATTTTCCTGCTCCCTTCTCCACAGCTCTTCCTGTTACTTGTAGAATTGATGAATTTTGCCTTTACTTTTGAAACAGCACAAATGTGCACTTGCAGTTGTCAGGAAGGTATACTGTGGTTGCTGTGAAAACCACTTGGCATGTGCACTTGATGATACACACTTGTTAGAAATCTGCTGCTGAAACTGTAACATGCCCTTTGCCACTGATCAGGTTCCAGCATCAAAGGATTTCACTAACGCCAATTGTTAGGCTCAAAATAGCCTCTTACATAGTGTATTTAAAACTAGAATGCCAGGTAGGATACAGATGGGCGAACAGCATTAGTTCTTACCTGCCACAGCTAAAAGTACCAATACTAGTTGGGAAATGCAGGGACACTTCACTGAATGGCATTCATTCTGTGTGTTTCACAGTCCTTATTATTAAACAATCGGGAAAGGTTTATTATTATTGATTTATTATTCATTTAGAAAGCATGAACGTTTTATTGAATCCATTTTAGAAATGAGACCTCTGAAAAGTCGTACAGGATCTCACAGAAGAGCTTGAAATAATCTCCTCTCTGAAAGGACATGCTCAAATATCAACTACTTATCCATAGAGAAAAGTTACTTTTTACTTCATGAACCACAACAGTTTATGAAGACATTTTCCTTATGGACATCATTTTTTATGTTAATAACTCCTATTTGCATGAAAAGATTATTCTGGTTGACTGTGTAAGACATCCTGTCCACTCAGCATACAGGATGGCTTGACTATCTCTTGGTCCCTCCATCAATACAGGTTCCAAGTCATATGAGACTGTAGTAACAAGGAAGATGCATCTCAGCATTCATATGAACAGCATATCTTGAATCACACCTTCGTGTGACTTATGAATTCGACTTCTGATCACAGGAAAACAGTGATCTTGTAATAAAGAGGTGGTTGCAAGACCAGTTTAACTACTGGTTGAGAAATATCTCTACTAACATTGGAAAACAGATCTTAAAATCTCAACTAAGCAACACCAGTGAGTAAAAAGATGGACTGACTGCCATTTGGAAATTTTTGAAAATGGTATGTTTTCAGAGAAGTTGCAGAAGGTGGTTCAGCCTTGGAACAAGGGGCTCTAACATGTATTTACAAATCTAGTCTAAATCTGTACCATGATTTAGTTTGGTAGAGTATTCATTTATATAGTTATTAGACATATATTATGGGCTATTTCCCATATAAGAAAGTATTATAAGTTGGCTGTTGTACAACAGCAAAAGGATGTTTTTCAGTTTAGGTACACTACACTAAGTGTAGTTTGGTTTCCTCCTGAGCAGAGTGGTACATGGAAAAGAAGTGGCAGCTGATTTAGATCATAATGAAAGATGACATAAGGTGAAACTTAGAGATTGCTTGGCATTGAATGATAGGAGCAAGTAGATGCCTAGACGTGAATTTGGGAAGATTATAGCTGCCTAAGCCAAAGAATGTGATAAAGAAAAATTCTGCCCACCCCTTAAGGTTACATCCACAGTACCCCTTAAGGCTGGCTGGATAATTGCTCTGAAGGTCAAGCTTGTCTGTACTCTATAGTATAAGCCTGCAAGGAAGCTTCAAGCACAACAGAAATAAGCCCTCTAGAAATCTGCATGACCAAAAATGATAAGCATGACTATTTGTTCCCAGCCTTGAACTGAACAAGATGTCAATGAGGTTGTTATGCACATGGAGGGCAGGCATTCTGTGGTAATGAAGATACTTCTGCCACTTCAGAGCAGCGTAGACACAAAATCAGGCACTTGAGTGTCTTTGTGTTCCCTTATTTTCAACAATAAGTTACTCTTGCCACCTGAAATTGTCTGTACTTTGATGCTGCTGTGCATACTTAAGCGACCATGATCCTACCTGATTTGAGAAGTTTGGTAGTTACCAGTCTTTTGGGACTCCACAAACCAGGGATCTCCAAAGCAAAATTCCCTCGCTGAGGGGATACTTCAGATATACTAAGTGCAGAGACAAACACTGGTAGCACTGAGTTTACCACAAAGAAAGAGACACATGACCATTTAAATCAAAAAACAACCTGAAGAATGGTGGTAAAGTCTCATTTATAGAAGTGGTCAAATGTTTTTATTTCCGGGGTAGAGGAAGGCCAGATTCTACAATCTCTATCTGACAGACTCAGTTCCATATTTCACAATTCCCAGGAGAGTGCTCATAATCTCCAGCATGCAGGCTGGACTGAGATCTCTCTCTGGTTGCTATTGGACTGTACAGCAATAATGTAAAATTCCTGGGGGAAGAAAGAAAGAAAGAATAGCCATGGGAATCAGACCATTGATAATAACAGCACTTATTTGGACCTAGGGTAAGGATTTATGCAATGTCTAAACAAGGTGTTTAAGCAGAGGCATGAGATTTCAGCTTCATTCCTTTCTTCAGGATTTCTTAGCGTCTGCTGTAAATGCTGCTTCTCTTGAACCTACCCTATGCTTCACACTGGTGTTATAACTGAAAATGTTAAACAGAACAGAAGTGATTTGATGGGAGTCTGGAAGGAAGTTTCTAACCCTGCTAAAAATATCTTGAGGTTTTTACGTGCCCAGGATATGTGACAGAAATAAAGCAAATATGGACAATGGAATGTAGAAGATTGCCAAGGTTTGTAGGGAGAGAGGATATACTCTATTAAACTAACATCCATAATAAGAAAAATCAGATAAGATGTCTGACGTGTAAGTCCTTCTTGCATTGCTTAAATATTTAGATCATCTACAGGGACCTTCTACTATTACTGCAACACAACAAGCAGATTTCATTCATTTTCAGAGTTGGGAATAAAATGCAGCATCATTATGTAAAAGGAGAGGTTAAGAGATACTGGAGAGAAAGCAGCTGAGAAGAGGTCTAACCACAATCTTCAACTACCTAAAGAATGGCTGTAGTAAAGAGAGAAAGATTTCTCAAAGCAGCACAGGAAAAGGGCATGAAGAAACAGTCACACCTGTGACATGGGAAAATTCAACTAAATGGAAGGAAAAAAACCAAAAAGACAATAATTAAGTAGTGGAATGGCTTGCCCAGAGAGGCTGGGGAATTTCCATCTTTGGAAATTTTCAAAACTTGACTTTACTTGAATTTACCATAATTTTCAAAAATTAAATAATATGTTTTGTATTATGCTTAATGTTAGCTATTGAAATTATCTAAACAAGATCAACAACACTAGTCAATAATTTGGTACAGAAAGTAAAGATTAACTCAGCAAATTGCATTACACGGAGAACTGTAGATGAGCAGAATA